TGTATCATGAAGGTATGTGGTTTTGACACTCAAAAAGTTTACTCTCTATTATCACCATTTGCATAAAAGCATGAAAGACTTGTCCACAAAGATTACACGTGCTAACTCCATTCCCCCCATTTTACAGGCGAAGGACACTTCGAAGACATCAGTGCCAAACCCTCCGGTGCCGCGACTCCTGTCTCTGCTGGGGATAATGGGGTTCCTGCTGTCGTCGCTGGGAAGGGGAGACGGGGTGGACGTGGTGGAGCTGGCGCCGGCGAAGGTGCTGGTAGAAGGTCGAAGAAAGCGAAGACGACGAAGGAGCGGCTGAGATTGATTGATGGGGATGATTGATGGGATGGGTTGGGGTGGGGTTAAGTGTGAGTGATGTTTGTGTGTACAGTATGCGTGTGTATTGGACTTGTGTATTTTCAGAAAAGCATTGCGGGCTGGCAAGAGGGGGGAGGAGGGAGACGTGTGTGCTGTGTGTGTGTGTGTGTGTGTGTGTGTGTGTGTGTGTGTGTGTTTTTCGTAGTCTCCCCCTGAGACCTTTGGAGCTTGGCCTTCCCATTTCCATTTTGTGAAATGTGATTTTTCAACTGTTTCTTTTCTTCATGGTTTTTTGTCCATGTTCGTTGTAAGAGAGAGTGTGTATGTGTACGATATTTTTCCCTTACATGTAGAGCTAGCTGGAGGTGTGTGTGGTGTGATGTCCAGGGGTTGATGTGGAATTGGGATAGGGATTGGGATTCGGGATTCGGCATCCGGGACTGGACTGGGACTGGAATTCGGATGGGACGGACTTTTTATTTTTTTCCCCTTATATTTTGTGCTATTTATTTACCTCTTCTTTTTTTAACAAGTTACCATTCTTTTTTCCTTCCCCTTGAGTTTTTTCTTGTGGTGCTGTTCTTGAGAGAGAGAGAGAGTATGAGCGATTTGATAAGATATCGACATGAGAACCTGTTGAAGTGATTCGTCATATTCAGGAGTTAAACTCACCAATGTTAGCTAAATACAACAAGAACTACACATTATCTGAGTGTGACATGGTGTGTGAGCTGTGAGATCATTACCGCTGAAGATGGACTCTCAAAAGAACAGCACAGAACAGCACGTACATAGCGCTGACTGACTGGCCTTTTCGGCACGTTTCATCCCTCTGACTTGATTTATGTGTCAATGTTAGGGACTCATCATTTGACAATGTGTATCTGCAAAACGCTTGTGAGCTGTGATTATCTCTACAGAGTTCCCCTAAAAACCCCTTGCGATTATCAAACAGAGGGTATCTATGCATGTTTGCTGGCTCGGGGAAACTTTAAAAAAATAGACAGCACGAGATGAACTTGAAACGCCACCGAAAACGGGGGGGGGGGGTTTACCTTGATATACATGCATCAACATCACCATCGTGATGAGCGGGCAGATCGTGTCTTTCATTTTCCATCTCAGACACGAATTGCGGGCCCGGGACAGATGGGGGAGGCAACGGAGGCAACGGAGAGCCGGCCTGGCTTGAAACCTGCCATCTCAATATGTCGGGCAATAAATAATATATCCTGCCGGTGGCCCCAGCATTGGTTTCGAGCTCCCCCTGCTGCAGTGCAGATGGGACGAGTCGCGGACGGGGGGTTGCGTTCATCATCATCATCATCATCATCATCATCATCATCTCTACTTGGCGGTTTATCCTAGTCCTGATGGACACCTAGCCAGATATACCTTCGGGCGGGTTGTGCATAGTTACGTTGCTGTAAGAGCAGGTCTTGTTACGGAACCTTTTTTTTTTAAATTTTTTTTTTTTCTTTCTCACGATGCAGCTCGAAGATTGAAGCTTGTTCTTGAGAAACAAGGCTTGACACAGCCGTATTATTGAGCTTTCGGGCCTCTGGTTGTGGCTGTCTAATGTATGTATGTATGCACAGGATGTCTATTCAGTATTACTTTTTATTGTCTTTTCTCTATGCATTCGGTTGCCACCTGGACTGACTGGATTTTTAGAAACTCATATTTAAGATCCTATATCTATCTGGTTGGCAAGCAGGCTCTGAAAGCAGTTCCATACACCTGCAGCTGGCTTATGTGCAGACGGATTTTTTCTTTCATTTTGGATACGTTCGTATCGGGGCCGCCTTCGTGATGGCGGCGCTCTGCTCTCTGATGCACCAATTCCATGAACCTCAACTTGTGGAGACAGGGTGCGATAGGGACATAAAAAGGAGCTCTTTCTCCCTCCCCCCCATCTTCTCTCTCAACCTCCAACCCCAATTCTGCACAGAGAACAGCTCCACACAAAATCCCATATAGCCTATAGTCTCTGCAACATCTGCCCAAGCAAGCTTGTAAGTTGATATTCCATGACAACCACAGTCCGCTCCGCATAGTGGGGATAGAAGCCCGCCTAACATATGCCACCCTAGTCGTCGTCGTCGTCATCATCATCATCATCATCATCATCATCATGAAGCTCTCCGTCGTCCTTTCGACCTGCATCCTGGCAATCATGCCAACGAGCACTCTCGCCTGGAGGTTCATCAGAGGTGGGAGAGACGTGCTTACAGGAACGGATTCTACTCAATGCCAGCCAGTTCCCACCGCAGAGCTGTTTGACATCGTCACATGTCGCCAGGCGTTGTTTTTTGGAGGACCAGGGTGTACGGGACAGCCTATCGCGGTGCCACCAAGACCGGGGCCCCAACGGTTCCCCCCAGGTTCGACCGGCGTGCGGATTGACTGCCCGCCTTCCTAGGCAGCTCTTCGCTTCCGTTCGTCTGGAGATGCGTCTTCGAGACTGGTCCAATTGAGCAAATAACGGGGTTTCGGGTTGTGGGTTCAAGGACGGTTTTCGAAGATCATGGGAGATTTCAGATGGTTTGGCGGATTCATATTTGTCTGTATGCCTGAACTTTTCGTCTATTGCTAGGATGGGCGGCCTTGGAGATTGAAGGGATTTATTGACTTTCGTGGATGATCGCTGCGGAGGCTTTCCTCTCTTCTAGATTAGGACAATGTCTTTGTTCATGAAGCTGACTGAGTGGTCGGTGATTGTGGTTCCGGGGTAATATTGTTGCACCCATGAGTGCATTTCCTTTGGCCACTCCAGAGGAGTGAGCAATATGGAGATAATAGTAGCAATGGCGAACTAGTTGAGGTTCAAAACAAGAAACGTCCACTTATCAACTACGTATTCCATCTGTGCTCTTCGGAGAAAGATGCATCAACAGAATCAGGGCTGATTGAATGTGTTGGATCTGGCACAGCTCAGGGAACTTAAGAAATGTGCAGTTTGTATGAGGCCCCGTTTTCTATTGAACTAGAAACTGGTGAAGCAGCAGGATAAGGTGGGGCGATAGAGCTGGGGTGCACAGTCATTGCTCAAAGCCGCACTCATTAATGTGAACACGATGAGCCGCTTTCTCGTAGATCATCCTGCGACACATGGTTTGGTTTAAAATCCCGACAGGCCACATTGGTTTTGGCGGGAATATTGTGTTCATCGACTGCAGCAATGCGTCTCTACCCCGCAAAAGCAGAACTACGTCTGCCGCCTGACGGGACTTACCCGCTTGCTGATTGATTGGATTATTATTGAGATGGGATTTCAGTTCTGCATGCGCGTGTTCAAATATGCCAAATGCCTGCCGTCTCAATAATGGGTATAGGAATACGACCCAGTAAACCGGGATTCTCCAGGAAACCGGTCGATCGTTTTTGCTGATTGATGTACTAATGGTAGTTAGCCACATTTATCAAACCATTGCCGCGCATCTGAAATGAAAATAAGTGTTGAATCCCAAGATCGCTAAGATATGCAGAAGGGCGGGCCCGCAGAGTTGTCACGTTCAGCTGTGTAAGGCGATGACACGGTCGCAACAGCGTCAATGTTCCTCCAGCACGCTTGAAGTTCCGAGAGTCAGCCCTTGGGGAAGTGGAACCATTCAGCTCACCAGGAATGACCCAGGAGCACTTGGATAAACGCATTTCACTGCCACGCACACATGTGGAAGTTGTGCAGGTGCCAAGATCCAGAATCAATCAGTCCTTCAAAGGCCTCTCTTAGCACATATTTAGACGGTCCTTGCCCATGTTTTCTGTTTATCAAAGCAAAAGCGATCACCCAGTCCTCCGAACTTCCTTAAATTCTCAGCATTTCCAAAAGTGTCTCGATCACCCTTGCGGAAACCAAGAGCCCTGAGTGCCCAGGAACGCTGCTAGTCGTTGCTGAGTGGATCAAGCAAGAAGGGAGCTGAATCTCGCCGGGTTAACTCGACCAAGGGCTATTTGTATACGCGTGTATCTATGAATAATAAATTCCGGCTTTCCAAGGTTCATTTCTCTGCAAAGCCTCACTCACACTACAACCCCTCTCTCCTGCCATCTTCCCACCGTTCCCTCCATAGATGGGACTGGGACTGGGAACCAAGGTACCATCTGTGGAATCTGCCCGAGTGTCTGGTTGTGCCATAGCGGGAACCCAATCTGGCGGCAAAAGGACCATTGCTGGGAACCTTTGGATGCAGGATCTGGGTCAAGCATCAGGATCGATTCCCATGGGTTTGGCCCGCGGCGATGAACCCAGGGTCATGGCACGTGATTCGCCGCTGTTGGCAGAATTTTCGGCTGAGGTAAGCAGACAGCCAATCAGCGGCGGCTTATTCCTGGAACGCCGGATTGGGACTAGCACCGGGGACTCTGCGGCTGCCCCGTCTGCTATTTTAAAGCGCTTCTCTCCAACATCTCAGGACAAGTTTACCTGAGCCAACCCAACCCCCCCGAGAACGTCCTGCTAGTACGTGTTTCCCTGAGGGAGAAGCCGAGGGCAAGGCAACACCGGATACTAGTTCGGCTGAACAGATTTGCAAAACAAACACACGTCCCCCAAGCACTGCCGAGACCACTGAGACCCAAGAGGACGACAATGGAAGCTCTGCTCAACCAGTCGCGGGCGCTTTGTCCCTTTCTGCAGAGGACTTCACCTGCTTCCCTCCGCTCGCTTTCGACCCCTAGCCGGGCCAATGCCAGTCCTGGAGGAGGTACCATCTCCAATCTGCAGGTCATTGCCCGCAGATGTCCCGTCATGAGCAAGGCCCTTGCTGTGCAGAGCGCCCGGATGGCTTCCTCCAAGTCGTTCGGCACCCTGGCTGGCCGGGCCAGTGGCACTACCAGCGTGAACGGAGTGTGTGCTGCTGCAGGCAAGAAGAGGTTCCATACCACTGCAAGCAAGGAGGCTGCCGTTGATCACGATGCTCATAGGAACCATGCGAATAGTGAGTTCTTCTTGCTCAGAGCGTTTTGTTGTTTCAGATACCTGGAATTGTTGGGTTGCTGATATCGGACATTTCTTGTTCTTGTTCTAGTCCCCCCTACGTTTCCCAAGGCAGGCCCTGTACTTGAACCAACTATGGTGAACGGTGTGGCCGTCTACCCGGGACCCAAGCCGGAGGCCCCTGCGTCAAAGACATTCGATTACGAAGGGTTCTACAATAACGAGTTGGACAAGAAGCACAAGGACAAGTCCTATCGCTATTTCAACAACATCAATCGGCTTGCGCGTGAATTCCCTCGTGCGCACATGTCCGCTCCAGAGGAGCGGGTGACTGTGTGGTGCGCCAACGATTACCTTGGCATGGGACGAAATCCGCAAGTGCTTCGAACGATGCATGAAACACTCGACAATTATGGTGCTGGTGCAGGAGGCACCCGGAACATCTCAGGCCACAACCAACATGCTGTTGGGTTGGAGAGCACCCTTGCCAAGTTGCATGGAAAGGAGAGTGCTTTGGTGTTCAGCTCCTGTTATGTCGCCAACGATGCCACCTTGGCCACTTTGGGAAGCAAGCTGCCAGACTGCGTGATATTGTCAGATAGTCTGAATCATGCGTCGATGATTCAGGGAATACGCCATTCTGGCGCAAAGAAGATGGTCTTCAAACACAATGACCTGCGAGACCTGGAGCAGAAGCTGGCTTCTTTGCCCCTATCTGTTCCCAAGATCATAGCGTTTGAGTCTGTCTATAGCATGTGTGGCTCCATTGCTCCAATTGAGGAAATTTGCGATCTAGCTGATAAATATGGTGCCATCACTTTTCTGGATGAAGTCCATGCTGTGGGCATGTATGGACCACACGGCGCTGGCGTTGCTGAGCACCTCGATTTCGACACCTATGCCTCGTTGGACACGGCCAATCCTAAAAGCACCAAAGGCACCATTATGGATAGAATTGACATTATAACCGGCACACTTGGGAAGGCTTACGGCTGTGTTGGCGGGTATATCGCTGGGTCGGTTTCGTTTGTGGACACAATCCGATCTCTCGCCCCGGGTTTCATCTTCACAACATCCCTTCCCCCCGCCACCATGGCTGGTGCCACAACTTCTATCAAATACCAAGCCTCATATGGCCGAGACCGCACCCTTCAACAACTTCACACCCGAGCCGTTAAAGCCGAATTAACCGCCAAAGATATCCCCGTCATCCCCAACCCATCACACATTATCCCGATCCTGGTCGGAGACGCAGAAGTTGCCAAAACGGCTTCCGACATGCTTCTTAAAGACTACGGGGTGTACGTGCAAGCCATCAACTACCCCACCGTTCCGAGAGGCGAGGAGAGATTGCGGGTCACCCCAACCCCCGGCCACGTCAAGCCATACCGCGACCACCTCGTCCATGCATTGCAGGGTGTCTGGGAACGGCTTGGAATCCGCAAGACCAGCGACTGGAAAGCAGCAGGCGGCTTTTTGGGCGTTGGGGTCGATGACGATAAGAATCGTCCTCTCTGGACCAACGAGCAGCTTGGGCTGCGTGAAGGGGAGAATCTGGAAGAGGCACTGGATCGTGAGCTCAGAGCTGACGCACTGCACAGGCAACGGATGATGACTGATTTGCAGAAGGAGGAACTGATGGCTCATGCGAATGCGAATGCAGTCGTCGCTCCTGCGTCCACTCTCGTCGGTGTCGCTGCGTAAGTGGAGTGGGGATAAAAAAGCATAATAGCTTCCGCACTTATTTCTCCCGTTTCTAGTAGTGTTCTTCTTTCAGTTTCGCTGTCCTGGCACACAATCACGCTTTGCTTGTCGCCCACACTCGTTTTACAAATGCAAACTTTCCCTCCGCCCACGGCTAATTGTGGTTTGGGCGCTCAAAACCAACAAACATCTTTTTCCTCTCTCTTTTTGCACATATATTTCTATATATATATATCTGATTTTGGTTATTTATTTTTTACACCCTTTGTTTTCGGATTTTGGATGGTGCAAAACCAATTTTCAGGTCATCTTTTAAAACATATGTTCAGGATACATACCTTCTTGGGGGGCAACTGGAATTCGCCAGTTTGCGCTTCGTGGTTTGTCGATCTTTTATTTACCCCCTTTTTTGAACAACGCTTTTTGACTTGTAATAATGCGGCACACGTAAAGTGCGTTTTGAATGAAACTATCTTTCCATCCAGCTTGCCTTTGTTTCTTTTAAGACTGGGTATTATTTTGGGGATGTAGACTCCTTTGGGTAGATGCTGTAGATTTCTTGGTCTCTTTGAAAGGAAAAACTACACCTATATGATTTTGATGAGAGATTGGGGATATCCTAAAGGAGGCTCTAGAAAGGGAAATAAACAAGACATCACACTAAATTCTTTAAATCCTGCCCGCTCGCTCCAAGTTCAAACGCCCCCATATAACCCAACTACCAACCACTCCCAACCCCCTTTCCTCCAATCCCCGACTCATTCGAAAAACTACTTCCTCCTCCTCACTCCCGGCCCCCTACTGACCTTCGGGAACTCCACAGGAACCCTCAACTTCGCAATCCTCCTCGCCCCCGCCTCAGCCTTACTCTTCACCCCCCACTTCGCAAACTCACTCTCCCGCGGCTTATCCACCTTGCACCCCAGCTCCCTAAAGTACTGCTGGATAGTCTGATGCTCGAGACGCAGATCGTCACGCAGATCCGCCGGGTCCGTCGCCAGCTCGTTGGCCGCAAACCCCGTCTCGGGCGGGATATGCAGCGACAGAGCACAGATGGTCGTGTGCAGGAGCGTGATGTCGCTTTTGGACAGGAAGGAGCCCTGCGGGACAAATTTGCGGCGCAGTGCGTCGAGGAAGGAATCCGGCAGGAGGGGGGTTTTGGGGTCAGTTGGCGCTGCCGCTGCTCCTTTCGACAGTGGGATGCCGGATAGTATGCGCCGCAGGTCTTCGCGGGGTGGGAGTTTCTTCGTCCCCGCCGCCCCGGGCGTAGCCGGGCCGGCACCACGGCTCGGTTTCAGCGAGCGAGACAGCTCGATGAGAATCATTATGAACCGCAGTAGCTGGAGCATCGTCTTGTTCCTCGAGCGGACTACGTGCTCAACTCTATGCGCCACGAAGCGGGAGGACGAAAGCACCGGCTCCCCGGCTGCAATGGCATCTTGCCAATCCTTGACGTGCATGGTACGCAGCGTGGCCAGGCCGTTGGGGACAAGGGTTTCGATCGCGTAGACGTCTGATGGGTGCGTGGCGGACAGGTTGGGTTGTGGCAGGGGCTTTACAGCTTGGATTTCGGCCTGGGCGGTCTTTTGCGGGGAGGTCACGGCTTCTTTGGGGATGGAGGAGAGGAGAGCTGATTCTACGGCACTGGGACCGCTGCCTGCTGGGGCGCTGGAGAGGAGGGCGTTCGCTGCGAGTGATTGGATGGCTTTGCGGGATTGTTTGGTGCCGAAAGCTTCTGTGAGAGCGGTGCGTTGGGCCCAGTTGGATATCTAAAACAAAAATTCACCCTGTGCGTTAGATATAGGGTAGAACAACCCAGGAGAATATAAAGGAGAGAGCTAGACATACCGCAACACCCTCCCCATCTTCCTCTTCACCATTGATATCTTTCCTAGGCACACGTCTCACACATCCACGCACCGTCATCTTCCTGGCCTCCGCAAGTTGCAATGTGCCCGCGTCCGGATCATAGATGGCCACATAATGATTCCAGAGCGTATCCAGCTCATTCTCTCCCTCCTTGCCTACGAAGTCAAGCTTCGGGTGTGCGGATGATTGCAGAAGGAGTTCAGAATTCAAGATCTCCACGCTCCTTGTGGCGTTGTGCTTTGGTAGCCTTTTTTGGCGCGGCTTGGTATATGCGGTTAAGGGGACTGAGCTGGGGACATTGATGCCTGGTGTGGATGCTGTGAAGATGTGAAATTTTATTTATTTATAAAGTTAGCTCATGGTCACCTTTGTTTTTTTTAGAAAATGGAAATATATGCAGCAGCAGGAAATTCAAGGGTGTAGATAGAGAAAGCAATCTTTCTACAGGGTTATTATTCCAACGAAAAATGTGATATTTAACAAATCCACACCACAAGGAGGTCGTGCTATTTGTTTCTTCAAAGAAATATATATTTACCTATAACAGGAAGCAACCCATTTGTATTCTCCACGAATTGGACTTTGACAGTCGCCGCAACGGGCGCAAGAGCCGCCTTCTTGTTGGGCCGATCGGTCTTCTCAGAAGCTCGTTTTCGCTTCGTCTTCTTCTCCGGTGAGTGGTCACCACCGCCCATAGTGTTTGTCTGTTCCTAGGAACAGATATAAAAGCTTTGTTTTATTTCTTATCCCTGTTATTATTCTGGAAAGTGGGATTCCAAGGGACCATTAAGTGTACTGTTATGGAACGATTGAATAAATATGTGACGTTTTGGATGGGATGTTCGAAGGCTAAAAATAAAAAAATAAAAATAAAAAAATTCCGACCAGCGTTTCTGTAAGTGGGATAAAATAATCGAGTTTGCAGGGCACAAAAAGCGCTTGGTGCTGCAACTGCGAAATCTGAAGCTCATCCCTTTTTAAAGATTTTAAATGCTACTTTGAACTACGAATGAAATATTGCAAATGGAGTGGTCTCTGGCTTTAAGAAAAATAATCATTTCAGACCTGTTTCCATTCCTTGTACTTCTTCAAGCCGCACAGCCCATGGACAGGCAAAAGCAGAGTCTGCCACAAAACGAACCAGGCAGAATACACGCCATCAGGAACCCATACAACCTTCAGAAGAATATTAAAAAGAAACACAAACAAGATTATATTTATTTTTTAAAAAAAAAGTAAACCTCAACCGCTCCGTGATTTTTTTTTAAATTCATTTCACTTTCCCTCCATTTGCTCTTTAATTGAAGAAAACAAATGAAAGAAAAAGAAAACAAAGTTAAAAAAAGAGAGGGATAGTGACCAGCTCTCCGCCCAACGATCGGACCTTCGATTTAGGAAAGATGACCAAAAAGTGAGAAATGGAGTCAACTTTTCGCCCTTCCAATCCCAAACCCTTTTCCCGCAACCCGAAAACAAATTCTAGGACATCATTCCCTTTCCAGTATCCTTCTCAAAACCCCTGTATTTCACATCTCGTCGTCAAAGCGGACATGCAACATAGCTCGGAACAATCGGGATGCTGATAAGAGATATCCGAGCACTAGCATACCTAACACCCCGACGGATAAGGTATCTGATTTCCATGCAAGGCAAGGGAAATTTGGAGGCTGTCAAGACGGGGCAAAACAGATGCTCATGAGGGGATCACAATGAAGAACGGATTCATTTTCATTCGTCGTGAAAATCAGGGAAAAAGTGAATCCAAAGGTGTTATTCTTTATCGTTGAATCGGGTTGCGTCCCTTTGGTTTTTTTTTTTTTTTTTTTTTTTTTTTTTTTTTTTTCAGTTCGAGGGATTATGTGATGTGTTGGCGGGAGGGGGGAGAGCTGAGACGGAGTGGTCGAGTTGTTTACTTGCTGTAATGGGGGCAGTTAGTATAAGTATTCTTCCAATGGTGAATTGAGACCAGGGGTTATCACGAACCTTCTAGCCCGGACCTTTCTCCGCTTACGCTTCAGCCGTCGAACGCGCTTCTTTCTCCACTTGGCTCTCATCTTCGCAGAGTTTTGAGACTGGGTTTATACGACGTTGGTTAGCCATTGTATCATATTTATATTGTTCTTTGTGTTTCCTTGTGCCGTCGACGAAATGCACTGTTGCAATTGTCGGGATATTCAATTGAACGCCAGGGTACGTATACTGGGCAGTGCAAACAGAGCAGCAGAGGGGAGCTGGAGAGCTGGAGGGGTTAACTCACACTTCTTTGACGATGAGGGGGATGGTTGCAGGAAGATGGAGTAGTCTGAGGGTTGAGGTTTTGCTTTGTAGTGTGCGTGGCTGACTCAGCGCACGCTAGCGGCCGCGAAGCGAGGAAGGAGGAGTTACGTAAGCGGCCAAAATTGAGACATCAGCATGAAACGATGGAAATGCGTACGTAGCATTTAATGTATGGGTGATATCTACAGAAAAGAGTAGACGATTAAGGAGAGTTTTAGAAAATGTTTATTTAGGCATAGTGAAACTATTACTCGATTGGCTATTTAAGGACTGACAAGTAGAATGTATGTCAAAACGATAGTCGGTATTGGTGGGATAAGACAAAAGAGAGGGACAACGGAAACGACAAAGAATACTCCATGCCAAAGGCACCAGCTCCGCCGAAGAAAACAAAAATCAATACCAAAAAAAAAAAAAAAAGGAAATCAAATCGAAAGAAAACCCATCAATTAAGCAGCGGTGGCAGCAATAGGAGCAGCAGCATCATCATCTGCGACTGGGCCATTCTCAACACCAATAGTAGTCTGCACTCCAACCCGTTCCTTGCCCAAAATATCAGCAAGAAGGGGACTTGGGCGGCTGTCCCGATGCGGTTGGAATACCGCCTGGGTGGCCTTGTACTTGTGCACACTTTCGATATAGATATCGAAGAGATATGAGGAATCCAGTGGGCCTCCCTTTGCCTCCGGGTGGAATTGGGTGCTGAAGATTGGTCGGCTCTTGTGGATTAGGCCTGTAAGACGGGTTAGTAATCGATTTGGACCACGGATGTTATAATATTATAGGGGTTTAAAAGGATATAGATATCGACAAACCTTCATTGCTCGAGTCGTTCAGGTTGATGAAATATGGTTTCCAGTCGCTGGACAGAGTTGAAGCGTCCACGGCATATCCATGATTCTGGCTGGTAATATGACAGCGGCCGGTGGTCAAATCCAGAGCTGGGATGTTATGGGCACGGTTGCCGTACTTCAGCTTGATGGTACGAGCGCCGGAAGCGAGGGCAAGGAGCTGGTGTCCAAGACAGATACCCATGATTGGCACTTGGGATGTCTCCATCAGCTTGCGGAGATTGTAAACGGTGTCCTGGCAGTGGGTTGGGTCACCGGGTCCGTTGGAGATGAAAACTCCGTCGAAGTGGTGTGCGACCTTGTGGATGGGGTAGTCGAAGGGGAAGACGGTGATGCTGGCTCCCCGGTTGACCAGGCTGCGCAGGATATTCTCCTTCACGCCGCAATCGATAACAGCCACGTGTGCGGTGCTGTCACCAGGGCTGACATGGAAGGGAGCCTTGGTGCTGACTTTCCGGACCAAGTTGATTTGTTCCGGGTCAATGAAGGCCTCATCCTGATCAGCATCGTACTCCTCGCCGATGGTGATTCTGGCGAGGGAGGAGCCCTGCTCTCGCAGATAGGTGACGATTTCACGGGTGTCTACTCCGGAAATGGCTGGGACGCCTTCCCTGGTGCACCATTCACCCAAACTCTCTACAGCAGTCCAGTGGCTGTAGCGCTCCGCAACATCGGCAACAACAACACCGACGGCTTGCAGGCTTGGTGACTCGAAGTATTTGAGAAGGCCATTCTCATCACGCTCAGCAGATGGAACGCCATAGTTGCCAATCAAGGGCTGCGTGAAGACCAGAATCTGACCACGGTAAGACGGGTCACTCAAGGACTCAGGGTATCCCACGAGGGAAGTGGTGAAGACAGCTTCACCAGAAATGTTCCTCTTGGCACCAAAGGACTTCCCGTGGAATACAGGGCCATCTCTGATGATGAAAGTCGCCCGGTCGTGAGCCGACGGGTGTACTTTCTTGGACGGGGTCCGGAGAGGATCGGTTCGGCTGACAGTAGCCATGCATCGAGCATTGAAGGCAGGAGGAGCCCTCAGAGCGGCGGTAGCATGAGTCCCCACCGGGACTGCTTTGAAAAGTCGCGCAAACATAATAGTGAATCTTGAGTTTTAATCGTCCGCTCTCAAGTATGACTCAATTAACCGAAGCCTTCCAGAGATGATCTATCGAGGGTGGTTAGTAGGCTGCACCGCTTGACGTAGTAGCAAAGATACAATACAAGCACATTGAGCATACCAGAGATGTAGTCCTATACAAGAAAGAAGAGAGTCAGTCAAAACATCCCCGTCACCCGAGTCAGGCTCCCAGGAGAGAGGAGTCATACCTGAGAAGTAAAGATTGAAGGAATTACACGCATAAGGGCTGATGTGCCCGTCAAGCACTTAAACAGACTATGTATGAGGTACTCAGAAGAGTGTGAAAGGCATCTAGATGATGGAAACTGAGCGTGGTTAGGCAGTTGAAGAATGGCAGAGATGGTTGGAAGGAAAAAAGACGGTGAAGTTTCAGTGGAGGAAGGGGAGGAGAGTTGGCAGCTTTTCTTTGTGCAAGGCGGTGCGCGACGCTAAGTGAAGGGCAAAGAGCAGGGGAGAAAAAAAAAAAAAAAAAAAGAAGGGCGCTGAGAAATCTCCTCGGGCGTTGGCAACGGCTTTTGGCCCAATCACACGCAGGGAAATGACCCCGTATTGTCACACCACCGTATCGGTTTCCACCTCGCCACTATATCTACGCGGGTTGATGGGTACCGGCTCGTAATTACGTTACCGAACATATCAGCTTTTGCCCGCTTGTTCAAAGAAAGGCATTGGCAATACTCTGCATGTGAATAAAATTTATCTTTTTTTTTTTTTTATTTATCAGAGTTAAGAGGGACTTTATATATATTAATAGAGTTACCATTTCTCGCTGTTAACAATTTCACGCTTAGAAAGCCTAGGAAGACACAGCATGTTCTTCTAGGGGCTGATTCCTGAACGGAAAATTTTCGGCAGGGCACTTCAGGGGTCTGAGAATCGCCGATATTCCTATGGCTAGGGGAAGAACTTCAGCTCACTGCTAAGCATCGCGCATCCGGATTCTTAGGTATACCTCATTGTAGGTCAAAGAGGAGGTTCACAAGGTTATAGCAGAGGATAAGGGGTGCAGTCGGAGTTGGAAGTCTTAATCGTTGGGCATCTGTCTCCCTTGCTTGCCCTTGGGGATATGATTCTTGATGTAGTTACACACTGATAAGCAGATGATTAACCAACCGGTTATTCTGGGATGCTTGTTCTGCTGGATTTCCGTTAGGCTAGTTATTCCCCAAAGAGCATAGGGCTTTTTGAGCAAGCTAGGATGCGATCCATTTGATACCCTCTGGGCCACGGAATCGAAGCTTTACAAAGAGAGGAAGTCCGGCCCGGGTGAAGTGCACTCGTGAAAGCCGGGAATATGCCGCGAGTCACTAACAATGCACTATTTCACAGTGATGTGTAGTTAGTTGCCTTTCCAGTCGCGTAAATAGTCCAGCCCGAAGCACCACCCCAAATTATTTGCTTTACCCAACATTGTTTGGGGTAATGTTTAATGTGCCTACAAAATTTAGCCTAGGCGTCCATTCATATCAATAACCGATTCTCTCTACTCAAGACCACTGCGCAGTATGAGAAAGGCTAGAATGAAGACTTTATATCGTCACTTTAACAATCTAACTCCCCTGAGAATCTGACCAAATTAGGCGGATGCTTAGTACTGAACGATGAAGTTTGCAGCAGGAAGTTCTGTTGCTTTGTACTCCGCCAACTGCACTAGAATAGCTACATTCTCCGCAACTACGGAATTGCGTATGAAAGAAAACACGTATAATGAATATCTTGTTCTACGTAAGGTGATACCAAGAATTCGGGTGGTTTCTGCGTATATTGATCAATTAATCAGCGACCTAACTACGAATTTGGCGCCGAGTCAATATAAGCGAGCATGCCAAGCGCTTGCCGATGAGCTTATTTCGACACCTATCAAGGATGTTGTTCATTGATAAGCACTTCTTGAGAAATTCAACAGTGGCAGTTTGTCTGGAGTTATCCAGGATAAGTTTCATTGCGGAGCCTTGTGTAATTCTCCAAGAGTTTTTTGTGTGCCTCCCACCTTTAGTGACTAGGTGATGAAGGCTTCGAATGTGCCCGTTTATTTACGGAGGAGGCGAAACGTACAAAGATCAATGTTTTTCGCTGGATTCGTGCAGATCTCAAGTCCTACATACTCTATCAAGTATATTGATAGTCCCTCTCTCTCTCCTGCTTTTACGATCGAGTTTCTCTGATATTTTACTTTGTTCGTGTGGCTTTACTGAACTTGGGATGACGCTATCCCTCAAGTGAAGATTCAAGTATGGATGTTTCTTTTTTGCTATCCCGAAACTCTTCATAGAGGGCAGCCGATTTGGGTACACTGGGTTTTGGTTTGATGAACTTCTTTTAATAGCAAATGTTGCAACGACATTGAGTTGAGAGTTTTTTATTTTTAATTATTGATCAAGGACATATTCGATGCTTATTGGAATCACCATGCATTCATTTCAAGACAAGCTTCTTGGCCCATGTGCCATGCGTGTTGCTCCGGCACACCTGCTATAACCACGGAAAAAAAACCGTTTAGCCAGATATATTTGTCTTGTATGCTGCTCCCCTAACAAGGGAAACCTACGGATGGACTCAAATGAATTCTTTTTAAGGAAAAATTTCACTCAGCAGGTGGCTCCATGCTGGCTCTTCCCGACCTAATCTGCAGCCTCACTCATCACTCCCTCCGTGTCGCCCTCAACACCAGTAACACGTCGCCTATCCGCCAATGAGTTGCCCCGGGAGGGGCTTCGCTTAAGCTAGCGCTGTCGGGGGCCTCAAGCAACAGGTATAAATTCTCCTTTTCTCCTCCCCCTGCCTCTTTCCCCCCTTTTTTTTTCTTTCTTTCCTCCATGGACAGACTGCCATCTAGCAACCTGGCTTCAGTTGTGTTAGGCGTCTAACAACAACTACCATCTTCTTAGTCCCATTTCTTTCTCATCGTTTGTAAGCACTTGTCACCCAGTACTTACTTCTTTTTCCGTAAGTACTCTATCTTCCCCTTATCCCGTCTGCCCCTTTTCTCAGTAAGCAAGGCCTTGTGTTTGCAGCTAACCCACTCCATTTATTCATTTAACAGTTCTTTCGCGTTTCTGGTTTTCCCCTCTGGGGTTTTTACCATGTAGGCTTCGGCACTACAAAAAAAGGATGCTTTCCATTCTCTATCTAATCTTTGGGCTTTTTTCATGTGAGGTAACTGGATATGGTTCTTCCATAACCGTCCTCACATTTATACTTTCTTTTTCACTATTCTCCTTTACTTGCTGAAGGGAATGGAGAAGAAAAAAGATACCTTGTGTACGCTGTTCTTGATTTTTTGATTTGCGTGCAGTTGTGCGCGTGTTATTAGTTAGTTGACGCGCACAACTAGCGTATGATTTAAATGTGTAGCAACACAACAACTGTTTACTGTTATCCGGGCATGTTTTCATAGCACCGAGGAGATCTTGGACGCGAAAGGAAAACGCACGCAGACTGCAACTGGTATCCCTTTTACTGCTACCATCCCTACAGCATAAGGGGCTTGACAGAGCATGTTTCGCACTTGAACGCTCTTTCGTATATAAATCGGAGGCAGAGCCAACCTGCCATCCACACACCTACATTAGCCGTTACAGAGGGTAGAGTGTATCTAATCACAGGCCTAGGCACAGCCATGGTCATGTGCATTACCTATATCGACTTCGAGCCAGCGGTAAGCGATTAAGGACCGACAGACCGGAATCCTACAAAGAGATAGGGGGAGAAAAGGGGGAGGGGGAGGGGGGTTACGTTCCTGCTGCGTAAATCGACCATGAAGAACACACAAAGCCTGTCCACGAGAAGCAGTATAAAACACAACTAAAATTCGTATACCACTCTACAGCTCCCGTCTGTCATTGCCATTGCATTATTGGGAAGCATCTCGTTATGATCCGGGAGGGTTTGGGGGAGGAGATGGCGAGCTTAGTCAGACAATACCTAACTAAACCCTACAACCTTCGTGAAACAGTTATTTATTATTTACAAAACTCACGAATGGAGAGAGTCGCAGTAGGTAGTCTCACAAATGGCTTTAGACCATTTGCCCAACGTGGAATGGCATGAAAATCGAGAATCCCATTTGATTCGAGTTCGTGCGATGACCTCCCGCCGCTAAATGCTGCTACTGAAATCTACAACCAATAACTAGTTACTGAAGATGCAAGTCGTGTTCAGTGGAGATTCTGGCGGCGGATCATAGAGGCCAGAATCCCTTGGCACTTAACATATTTAAGGAGATTTGAAGCGCTCATGAACGTCGTCTCTTCAATAATGGCTCAGTTGAATCTCCTACGGTTTCGGAACTATAGTGGGAATATATATAGGTGTATTGCCATACCATATCAGAGACACAAACAAACAGCAACTACAAATTCTCACGCTACGAAATGGCTCAATCCACAATAGCAGAAACGACGATGACGACAGCAGCAGCAGCAGAGAAGCCTTTGGTAGAGGTTGATGCTCCCTCAGATGTTTCACTGCTATGGCAGCAAGCTCTAGATAAATACCAGGAGAGCACAGGCAAAAATCTCAAGCAAATACCCAGTTTTGGCCGTGTCGAGGACATCCTGGCAGACGCCGAACTTCAGCAAAGCATGTTCAGCACTTTCCGACACAACGGTGAAATGGGTGACAGGCTTCGCTCGTCTGTGGCGAGGAATGCTAGTTTCCTGGAATCTCTCAGGTTTGTCGTAGATGGAGCTGCTTTGGTGAATTCATATATTTAAATTTCTCTGTAGTTACAACGTCTTCTCCAGACAATCTATCTGACAAATGTTTCGTCTTCAACTTTACAGGCGTACCCGCCAACGACCGCGATATCATCTGCATTTTTCTACTTTCTCCAGGTATGTGTAGCCTCTAATTTCATTCCGGACGGAATTATAATATTGTTATTTATACCTCTTTGGGTTTTATGTTTCTCATCCTCAAGCGCTTGTAGATGACCAAGCATATTTCTTCGGATTATGATAAGATAGTCGACTTTTTCGACACAATGAAAAATTGTCTCGAACGACTGTCAATTATTCAGGTAAAGTTGCCATCGATTCCTGCATATACGTCTCATGTTGTACGGGTTTTCTCCGCAATGCTGAGCGTATGTGGTATTGCAACCGCCTACATAAAGAAAGGAAGATTTAGTAGGTAACGTTCGGTCTCTTGCATTCGTGGTTATTGGTGACGCTTACACTCTGAAGAAAAATGGGTCCGGGTTTTAAGGGAGGGCGGAGGGGATGGGAATTTGCAAAGCGCCCACGCCGCCATGGAGAAGTCGCTTACGGAGCTCGAATCTGCCTCAGTCACAGTCATTCTCGCGACCACCGAAGGTCTGAAACAGGACACGAAGGGCATCGTTGCCACAACCGAAAGAATTGATATTAGCAACCAGAGAATCGATACTAGAACTGAAAGGATAGAATTATCGATACTCTCACAGCGGGATCAGTTCCACGAAATGTCAGCGAATTTCGAGAAATTGTTGAAAAGTCAGCGGAAGGACGCAAAAAAACTACAGTTATATGACCCCGGAAAGGTAGTAGATGCGAGGACACGCAAGCACGTTGCCTTTAATTCTGTGAAGCTTTGTTTTGAGACCAGTATTGATCCCGCCTGGCAGACACGAGATATTGAGTACTCCTTTGTAAAAGGTTCAGCTAAATGGGTTTTAGAAGAGGAAGCATATCAAGCGTGGCGAGAAGGGGGCAATAACCCATATCTGTGGATTTCAGGTGACGCTGGTTTTGGGAAAACATGCATCGCATTTTCGCTGGCTAGAGAGCTAACGGAATCTGTTGCGTCAGAACCGAAGACCTCAGTTGCAGCATTTTACTTTCAGAGTGACCAAGCGGAACTCAGATCTGTGTCAAATGCGATGTCAAGTATTATTATTCAAATTGCAAAGCGGAACACCTCCTACTGTGAACAGGTGTCGTCAGAAATCGGCAAGTCGGACGGAGATGTTGATATCGATAATTGGTCGACTGACCTATGGGAGCGGTTCTTTCAGTCCAAGTTCGGAAGCAAGTCTAATAACAGGCTCTTTCTAGTCATCGATGGTTTGGATGAGATATCTGCTGAGGATAGAGTGAAATTCTTAGGCTTGTTAGCTCAAGTGCGAAAAGAAAGCCTCAATATGCACGTCTTGTTCACAAGCCGTACAGATATACCGTCGTCTCCGAAACTCCTCCAGCCGCTCGAAATTACTGCTACCAAGGATAAATTGCTGCCAGACATGACACTTCTGGTTAAAGACCGATTGAAGCGCCTCCCAAATTTATATGCACTCCACAAGAAGACTAAACGGAAAATCCTTTCCAGGGTCCTTGAGAAGGCTGACTGTAAGTGTTTCCCTCGTTTTGGGCCGATTTCTTCATACCAGTGGCTGATTATAGACTAGCAATGCTGTATGTCGACCATATGCTGCGTCGATATAATTCCATCGGCAGAGAGGGGGCGGTGTTGAAGGATCTAGAGACGAATCTTCCGGACAATCTCCAGTCTCTCTATAATAATATGTTAGCTGAACTTACGCAACGCAGAACTTCTGAACACATGAAAATTTTTAAGAATCTCTTAGCATGGTTGGCCTTCTCAAAACGACTTTTAACTGTTGGAGAGGTAGATGATTTGACCACGCTTCTAGGTCAGGACCGGTCATATAACATCATAGAGGAGGTTGAGGGGAAATCTTCTAGGTATGATATGTAAACCACACACTCTTCCTCCATTTGATGAGCAGGTTAACAACTGAACTTAAACTTCCCAGAATTCTGAGAATTGCACGAACTTTTGACGAAGAGAACCAAGACGACGAAAGTGATGGCGAGGGAGATCCTCCTGATGATGCGTCGGTGGCCTCGAAAATGATAGCAGACGACAACGCAGCATCACTTCAGTTTTTGGATAGGTCACTACGGGACTACTTCCGCTCCGCTGACGTAAATGAAGAGGAATTGCGAACAGACGTTTCCTCCGCTCATCTCATCATATTTGAAATGTCGGTCAATGTGATATGCGGAATGTATAGGTCTAAGGGTGCGAAGGCAGGAGATCAAGTGAAAAATTACGCAATTAATTTTTGGGCTCGCCACTTCTTGGATCTTGATCCTCTTTCCGCAACGGAAAAGGATGTTGTGAGAGTCATCGAACCCCTGGTTCTCATTCTGAGCAACCACAATAACGCAGCAAAAGAACTTGAATCGGCACCGGTGTACCGTGATGTCTTTGGTAAAACAGTAAAGCGTCAGAACGATTTTTTGAAACTAGTTGCGATATGGGTCGAGAGAGCATCAGATCTGAAAGTGGAGAAGCTTAACGATGGAGCAAGATCGTGGGTTGAGAGCGCTGTTCGCTCTCTATTGAAGATTATGGTTCCGCTAGCGCGAGGACATGTCTTGAATTGGTTCCAGCAGATACATGAAGAACATGACTGCTTTGGGTTTGCCGCTGATGCGCTTTTAATGGCAAGTAGCACTGAAATTTTTGGCTCAGTGATGTGTTAATCAATCACTAATACTTGCTTACTCCTAGACGGACCTCCACCCAATTATTCCTGCAAGACATATTACAAAAGCTAAAATTATCAAGAGCTTTGCGGACGTCTTTTCAGACATTCCAAAGGACGAAACGGCATATCGAGCCGTAGCACTCGTTTTGAAAAATAAGGAGCACTACGATGAGGCTATTGTCGCTTGCAAGACTGCTTTAGCAGTGTCATCTTCTGATACAGGTCGCTTCCGTACATCGGTGGTTCTAGCACAGATATATTGCAAATTGTACGGTGACGAAGTTGAGAATGGATCTGATGCTGGAGGGTCTGAGGAAGATTCTAGTGAATACAATGCCATGGCATACAAAGAGATCTGCGAGGCTCTCTCCAAACGACCCCCAATCGACAACAGCCCAGCATCTAAGGAAGTCCTCCTACTAATTCGAGAAGCTCTGCTCATCCGAGGGGACTGCGAGCGTGTAATAAAGAAGATGGATGCGGCCGTGAAATCGTTTGGGGAAGCAAGAACCATTTGTCCATCTGAGATTCTGGGCGGAGATTCCCTGAACGAAATAACATCTATTCTCGGAGAACAGGGAAGATTTACTGAGCTAATGGAAAACGTTGAGCTCTGGACACCCTGGGAGAGGATGGCTTGGCTGACTGCCAACGACGAGGATGATAGACATGACATCTTCCGCAATGCTGCAACCGTAACTGGGAAAGAAGACTTCTTGGTGAAGACCTACGAAGATATAATAGCGTACCTCGATCGTTCGAAATCATCCGCTGCCATCCGTTGGGAACTCGGTTCATATTACCAGACCGTAAAGGGCGATTTCGCAAAGGTGAAGCCTTGGTTCTACTCAATCGTCGATGGAGACTCATTCATCAGTCCCGCTACTGGTGAAGAAGATCTGGTTATCCTCTCCGAAACACAGCTGAACCTTTGCGACATCATATATGAGGAATTCCGTCGAGCAGAAACGTTCGAAAAAAAGATAGCGTCCATGGAAGAGCTGAAAAGACTGCAAACACGCCGGCGCAGAGCTGCTGTGGATGATGGAGACGTTTATGAAACAGCCAGCTCCATCGTCCATGCAAATATGCTTCGCAAGATGGGCCCCGCCCATGAGTTCCAGAATATATTGGAGAAAACATTCCAAACATGCATTTCCTCATTGACGGATGACAAGGGTTGGAATGACCAGAACAGTCTCTGCCTACTCGCCAAGGTCCTTGCTACTGTTGGGGGGTTGGAAAAGGAGGCGCAGATCGCTTTCTCCGCCCAGTTCTATATCATCGACCCGGAGGTCGAGCATGGCTGGTCAGATGAGGAGTCGATATGGAGCACTGACGGCGAAAATGTCGAAGAGGAGGGCGACTCTGCTTCAGATACTGGATGCGACGACTCTGGCAGCTCAGGCTCCAGCCCCAGCTCGTCATCTGGTAAGAAAGAGTCTAATGTGAATGGAGACTTCGCGCCCGATACTGCCTATGTTTGCCAGGGGGAATGTGTGGATGATGAGATTGAGTCGTGGGAGACTGGGCCCGTCTACCTCTGCATGATATGTACGAACTGCGATTTGTGCAATGCGTGTTATGAGAAACGCCAGGCGTATAATAAGGATTCGAGTAATAATACGCATTGGCGTTTGTATTGCGGGGCGAATCATTGGTATCTTAAGGGTCCTGTAGATGGGTGGAAGGGGATCAAGGATGGGCATATGACGATTGGAGAGGAGAAGATTAAGTTTATGGACTGGTTGGAGGAGCTTCGGGTGTCGAAGTGGAAGAAGGCATGGGAGGAGTTTTGGATGAGAGAGGAGGCTCAAGGGGATATTTTATGATTGCTTGACTGTATCTATTACGGTACAACCTGTTAATTATCTAAATATCTCCCGTTGGTTGTGATATGAACTGATGAATTATCACCCTTGAAGTAAATAGATACCAGTTGTCCGTGCGAAATAGAAAAACAAGTTGATGGATTTGATTGTAATCCTGTTAATCACACTGGGCAGTACTAGTATCTAAACAAGGCATGTGTCAACAAAGTCTTGAAAAAAGCTGATCAGACACAAAAGAAGCCCTTAGTAAGTATGCATACTCATAGCTAACTATTCAGGAAAGCTATCCAGGGACAAAAGCCCGCTAAAACACATATACAAGCTAAGTTTTGTATTTGGTGGGAAAGAAGCTGGTGGCCGGACTCGGTGGGTTGGATGAAAAGATATGAAAGCAAGATGATTAACAGCCAACAAAACCGTGGTTGTATAATATGAAATATCTCCATTTCCCTCCGCCCCCTTTCTTCAATATGATAGAGTAGTAACAACAGAAACACAGCAGACAAGAGTTAGGAATATACGACCCAATTGTAAATTCAATGAAACAAAATCAAAATTAAAAAGGGTGGGATAGTGAAGTGTATTAAGAAAATTTTGGAAAAAAAACAAATGCAAAGTGACAAAACACCATGCTAATGGAACTGTTGGACGGTAAAAATAGAAGATGGAAACGTGGGGCAGCACAAAGAAAGAAACATCAAAAGTAGGAGGGGGAATAACAATAAAACAAGAGCAAAATTTCAAATTTATTGGCCAGTATATACACTTTTCTAACCAGATATCATCTATGTCTCTGCCTCTCCACGTCGTAGAGCGAGGAGGGCCCGAACATCGGTTACATATTGCATCGCTTCCAAAATTGGGATGAGATGCAAGAGGTCGTTGTCCGTAGGGTCGTTGATCCAACCTTCAATTGGAATGGCATTATCTGCACACAGAGAACGTAATTTTTTAGTAAAACGCCAATCACAGTATGCAGTAGAACCTGCGGGGAAGTCGTTCTGTGTGGTTGGTTCTCTTCGTTCATTGATGCACATTTTGAGCAGCGGGTATTGTTTCTGTTTCCTACATACCTTCGTGAAAAATATAGCTCATGGGACTATTATCCAAGATCATCACCTTGCTCAAATCAGGCTCAACGGAGCTGAGGTCTTTAATGTAGGCGCCGTTCCGAAACGTACAGTGCTGTCGGTAATACCTACGGTGAAAGAACTTGCGTTCTTGCTCGAGCCAGTCGATGACAGGATCGGCATATTCTTGGACACTGGCGGTAAATACAACAAGTTTATACCATTTGCATACTTTACGGAGAAAATCGTCACAGTGAGGGCGCTTATGGACGTAGTAAAGGATGGGATGTTGAGGCCCTATCGTCGTAGGTCCTCCGGGGGTTGAAGTTGTCACAGGCGTTGACAACTTGACCTCCACCATATGGCCGCTGGACATGCGACCACCTTTTGCCAATGAATGAATAAGAGTTTCGTCAAGGTCTAGGACGAGGGTTTTTTGAGCTTGCGGCCCATATCTAGGATTCGAAGGGGAGGTATATGAGGGTTGACGTGGAGGGATGAGCGGCCGCGGAGGAGAAGGGGCGTGTGGGTATTTCGTGAGCTTATGGGAGGACGCGGACATGGGCGATTTCAAGCTTTCAGCAGCAAGACTCTCAGTGTCCTGCGCTGGTCCTGTATTTCGTTCTTTCTGTTGTTTCCGCTTCAAATTCCCTTCGTTGTTCAACTTTATGCGTATGGATCGCCTGGGGATCCCTTCGTCACCGGATGAACCGCGGATTGACTTCGACTTGGAAGCACGGTCCCCATCATTGGGGTTTCTCGTTGCTCGCCGGTCAGGTTCTGACTCGGAAGTATTCGAGGATATTGACTCCCGGGTTTTGGAGCTCCTTAGCCGTCTCACACTGCTCCCGCGCCCATTCAAAGGTTTCTCTGTATTGGGATAGCTCAGCCGTCCTGACGCTGCAACACCCATAGCCTGAGACGCTGTTGTGTCTTTGTTTTGACTTGTGATATATCGTCCTAGTCGCCTCGCCGGCGCTAAGAGCGAGTAACTTCCGCCATCCTCTTTGAAAGCGCGAGCAACGTAGATGCCTGGGGTTGCGAGAGCTGACAGTATAATCTTTAATGTTTCGGCGATGGCATCAACGAGACGTTGAGCAATTAATTGTAATTTCGTGCTTGATGGAAGGATATCGCCCCTCTGTAATTCCTGTAACAGTGGAGTTTTCTCGTCTGCCGCACCCGGCAGGTCTGGGGATTTCTCGTTACCCTGGGCATCGTCGATGAATTCTCCTTTGGCCTGGTTGCTATATAACTCTGTGTCGTGCAGCTTTCCCACACTATATGACCTGGTTGAAGGAAGGACACTTCGATGGCTTCCGGAGATTACAGGGCCCTGGGAACGGGAGCGGGGACGGGAATTGGATGGAGCTGGCTGTCCGATGACGTGGGACGAAAGAATATTGAGAGAATTCATTGCTTTTAGAAGGCCATGCAGCTCTTCCGGAGAGCAGCTGTCTGCTCTAGAATTAGTACAAAGGTCGAGCCACCACATCTCATTGGTAAAAGGGACATATTGTAAGAGGCTGAAAAACAAAACAGGCCAATGGGTTTTGGCTGACCTCAATGCGCCAGATCCAAACGATGGCCCCAGCCACTGCCAGGTGCTAATGGGTGAGGTTCCCAGCCAGAATGCGCAAAGTGGCAACCGGGTATGTAGGATATCAGGAGGTCCGGATACGAAAAAAAAGAGAGTAAAAAGTACGGTTCGCGAGGCGGAGATGAGGAAGAGAGAGGGGATGAGGAGGAAGAGGAGGAAGAGGAGGAAGAAGAATAGGGAGACGAGGAAGTCGATCCCTGAGTCGTTGTATTATCTGCCGTTGTAGCTGTAACTGTTGCAGTTGTTGTACAGTAGTTGCTCACTATGTCGGCGTCGTTTGGTGCAAGGTTGAGCGACTGACTGTGTGAGTGGTGGGGATGCAGAGCCGCAGACGACGACCCTTGATTGACACTTCGACACTTCCTGCTCCTTTTTTGTTGGGCCAACAACAACGACAACCACACAACACCAAAAAGTAAGCCCCCCCAACATCATCATATCATGGATAATTTACACTCCACACACCGGGACATGCCTCTTCACGCCATACAACGTATCTCGATTTCAAGGTCAAAAGGTCGAACACATATATGTCTTCGTCTTCTACAGGACCATTGTAGGCAGTCCCCGCCCAGTATTTGGGTGCCTTGGATGCAGGTCCATGTCTCTCAACAAAATCTCAACCACCAACCCCCGTTCTGTGGCTACAAGTGTTTATATGCATGGGCAGAACTCCGTAGAGTACATCCATTTTACTGCTAGCAGGGCATTTGCTTCTAGCGGGCTACTCGCTTTCCCTATGGAGCAGCTATTATCACCAGGCCCCCGCCTCAGTTGTGCATCAGCGATCATGTGGTCTGTTGACTACTAAAAGGGACCTCGACTTGTTGTACTCCAAATTAGTTACCACAGCCAGAAGATGCGCTATTTACCTTAAACAACGGGCAATACGACAGACAGGCTCGAGTGAGGACTAATTTGGAATGTAATGTCCAGTTTAAGCCCCTAACTATTTTCTGAGCAAGATACACACTGCTTGATTTTGCCACCTTCGGGGCACGTTTGAAATTACTGGGAACCTCCCCCAATTTCATTTCTCTAGAAGGGTATCTATCGAACTAGCGAACTTTTATACTTCTGCTCAAAGTGTTCCCTCCAGGCAGGTCCCTTTGCCATGCTCAGGAGTGCAATGGCGGTGCTCAAGAGGTCAAAAATTGCGATTCCTGTGAAGCACCATCCAAACCCCTCAGCCCGAATCAGTGGGTCAGTAACAGCCGCCCCAATCGCCGCTGCTGGGTTGCGCAGGAGTGAACTCAATGCCACCAGCGTAGCTGCCTGCCCGGGCTGGACAAGCGTTACATATGTGGTGTTTGTTGTAAGCGTCCACGCAAATGCAAATCCACCTAAACTATGTTAGCTGCTCATGTTCATATTCAAAAGGGATAATTCGGAGCGGACAAACAGATGGCCATTGCAATGATTACGCCGGGGACGCCAATGTTAAAGTTTGCCAACCATCCATATATTAGAACTCCGATCGGAAACAGTGCGGTTCCTATAAACTGAAGGCGGAGCCTTCGTTCGGGTGCTGGCGTTTCTCCCCCTGTCTTTTCAATGTGTTTCCTGTGGGCCCAGTCACTCAAGTGACCACAACTGACAGATCCACATATCATACTCAGCCCTGTTTGGAAAGGAACAGCGTTATTAAATTGATGGAGCCTGTGTTAACTTATGGCCAAGCGACGTACCTGGTGCGAGATACGCAACACCGATTTCTGCAGGGTTGAAACCATATCGCTCCTTCAGGGCCGCGGGGAAAGCAACTGAAAGGCAGTAATAGCTCCCGAAAACGATGGAAACATTAATACAGGAAAGCATTACAATAGGATGTCTCATAAAGAGAAGTATGTTGCGTCCCCTTGGTCGCCGGGGAATGATTTCCTCAGGCTTAAGGTCAACTTTTGCACTGAAAGTTGGCCATTGGACCCACGACTTCCCACAGTGAATGGCTCCGTTCCCAACCCTGGACCTCAATGTCTCTGGGAGAAGGAATAGAGACACCAGGAGACAAAATCCTCCAAATATAGCTGTGACAAATGGCATGTCAGCGCTCCTAGAACTTGACACATCATCGAAGATTTCAAACTCACGCTGTCACTTACCCAGAAACGCAAATGTCCATCTCCAAGTGGATCTCTGCGCAATCACACCTCCAATTAGTGGACCGAGAATTGGCCCCAGTTGCGGCCCAAGGCTGTAAAAGGAAATAGCTCGACCACGCTGCTTTGGTTCAAAGATATCTGCGACAGTTCCCACCCCGGGGCTGTACATGGCAGAGCCCCCAAATGCCTGGAGCACACGCAATACCATGAAGGATGCATAGTTCGCTGGTGCTGATGCGAGAGCAATGTTTGTTGCAGTACCGATTAACAAACCGAAAGCAAACACAGGCTTCCGGCCTCTTGAGTCCGAGATACTTGCAAAGAGTAAGGGCTACATAACTACAATTAGACAAATCTAATATATCATAAGGGAAGAGCCGCTATCGACAGAGGGAGCAGGATATACCGCCACTGCGAAAGTAATCATAAACACTGTCACCGTAAGGTTGACAAGTGTAAGAGAAACGTTTAGGTCTTCTGTCAGGACGGGAAGCAAGGGCATATAGATGCCCGCTGAAACGGGGGCTATGAAACCCTTCGCAACAACTATCGAAAGGATGAAATTCTTCCTGGCTGGGGAAAACGCTGAGTAAGGTGGTTGATTTGGTGACGGTGGACTCCCTACCGTCTCTTCTTTTGTCTTAGTAATTGGCCCCTGCTCGTTCTCATTTGCTGGGGCCGAACCGGCCATTACCACCGAGGGCTCTTTGGAATCTTTCATGAGTTTTAGATTGTTCAGTTTCAAAAAAGAACGAATATTAAAACGAATGAAACAAATGGAAGAAGAAGGACAGAGGAAGCAGGTGAAGAAAGAGAGAATCAAAGAATCAAAGAGGGAAGAATTCAGATCGGAAGATCACTACTAGGTCATAGAACCAATGTCAGCATGCATTAATCCATCGTAATGGGAGGTCGCTTTTTGGGTCATTTTGAGTACCCGCATCAGTTCGACGCGCCATATTCTTCAGCTTTGGGGTCAGCTATTCCATCAGCTCCCTTAATTCTTTGCGTTTGTTTTCCTGAAAGGAAGCAAAAGAGATAGACCAGAGAAGCCACCACCCAGCAAATCGTATGAACATCCTCAAGTTCAGATACGAAAGACAAAATCTAGATGGAACCGTTGCATTTTGTACAACACCATCAATAATTTTTCTTTTTAATTGTATACTATATTCGGGGGCGGTTCGTGATGTGAACCATCTGCAGGTAGGACGGTACGGATGCGAACGACATCTGCATGCAAGCGTGGTTGTTTATGACCAAATGCTCGCGTCTACTTACTTAAGTTTTCCGTTGTTTTGATCATGTTCCATTTTTTTTCTTTTCTTTTCTTTTTTTTTTTTTTTTTAATTCTTTACACCCACTTGACCCATCTCGTTTTATGTCCTACCCAACTATGTACCAAAAAGATTTTCCCGCCTGAAGCGCAGCGACTGTTTGCCCGTAAATAGATGCTGCAAGAAACCTGTCAGGGTTAGCGGACCCGATTAGTAGTAAATGACGCTGGCAAGGCATGCAACAAGAGGGAGAGGGGGAGAGGAGCGGAACGAGAAATGAGGCTTCCAATCCTGATACGATATTGCGCCGGTAAATCATTTCTTAGCCGTGGACAAACTCTACCGCATGGCAATGTTGCCTACATACAAAAAAAAAAATGACTCTTGACAAATTCCCTACCTACGGCAAGCCCCCTGAATGTCCTTCGCCGTCACTCTTCCCCTTTGTCTGCTTGGTGCTCAGAGATGCCCACAACCCGAAACCCCGTCGATCAGCCACATAACTTCTCAGTAAAAAGACTTAAATCAATTTAACCTCTGTGCCTGTCCTACTTTTGAATATAAATCTACAACCTAGGGGCTTCATTAAACCCTAAAGTGGGAAAACTATTCAGCTTCCATACAATATTATACCAACCATCTCACTAGAGAAAGACTTTTAAAACATTGAAACTTACCCAGCCAAGTTTCACCTTAGTTCCAGGAGCGAGAGTCCACTCCACACTCCTCGCCAACTCAAATAGCGCAATCTTCATCTGCAACAGCGCAAATGCCTGACCAAGGCATTTCCGCGTATGCGCGTTGAACGGGATATATGCACCACTGGCATTTTGCTTACGGAACTTTGCCTGTATCGCATCAACGGTAGAGCCCCATCTTTCAGGGATTAACTCTCTGGCATCGTTGCCCCAGATGGCTTTGTTGGTATGCACGCCAAAGGCGGTCCATCCAACATAGGTGCCCTGTGGGATGATTATTTGGTTGCCGAGAACAGCCGTTCTCGATGCTTTTCGATTGATGAGTTGTGAAAGTGGTGGATAGAGGCGGAGAAGTTCGAATACTGTTGCAGTCAAATATGGCATGCTGTCAACTAGTTCAGGGGTGGGGTCGATGGACCCGGTGCTCTGCACTTCCTTTCGAAGCTTTTGCTGTATCTCCTGCAAGTCTGTCCCTTAGCAGGTTGAGATCCCGTATACAAAAGGAGGAAAATTTTGTGTGGGAACTAACGATTTTTACACCCAAAGCATAAAGCGTCGAGTTGAGTAGATGCTGCACATCTTCGTGTCCGGCTACGAATACGATCTTTAGATTCGCACGGAACTGGGTCTCCGTGATTTTTCCGCAGGCAAGAGCCCCTCGAAGAGTGTCAATTACCTGTACATCATCATGTGGTTTCAAGTCATTTAGTGTTGCCTCAGGTTTGAGGTTCTGAACGATTTCGTAAAGCAGGTCCTCATACTCCTTCACGACGTTGAAGGCCCGCTTCCGGCTGCGGAAGATATAGGGGTATTTGTCAAGGGTGGGAAAGCTGAAATACAACGGTGCGAAAACACTTGTCCTGATGGTCGTCTGGAGTTTCGCGAGCTTTGTGGTAACGGTAGGTTCGAGAATCTGTTTATGTGAGAAATTAGAACAATTTGATCGTATTTTCCTCGCACAGTGGGAAGAGAAGTTTTAGGACGATCCCACAATTTCAGAATTAACGCACCTCAAAATTTGTCCGAAGGAAATGTTCTCCCACAACATAAATCGCATACCGCTGCACCAATGTTTCAGGATCAATGCCGAAATCCTCTGCTTCTGCGCTTTGAGTCTGCAGGATTGCTTTAACCAACTGCCTCGACCGATCAACCAACTTACTGCTATCCTTGATCCGCCTTTGAATACCCCCTTTCATAATCGAGGTGTAAAGCCTCCAAGTCTCCCCGTGGGCACTGATGATGTTATTGCCGAGAAAAGCAGCAAGAACACTATAGGGGATCTTCTCGCAGTTCCCTGCTTTGATAAAAGCGTCTTCATTCCTAAGCAGGTCGTTGATATATTCTGGCTTTGCATTAAGCACGTTCCAGCGGGAAGAAACCCAAAACTTAACTGCTCCATATTTTTCCAGTGGTTCACGCATCCAACGGTCGTATATTTCATCCTGACCAAGGTCAATGAAGTGTGCAATGCTGGATACATAGAATGGAATTGCAGGGATATTTTTTGGCATGTCCGATGGGATGCGAAGATACCACCAGGCAACAATGATAAATATCGTCGCAGCGCCCGCCATGCTCGCTAGGAGAGCCATTGGAAGTTCCCAACTTTGCGTTGAAGAATGCGCAATCTGGATCAAGAGGCAAGAGAAGAGAGTCAATTGTTGATCATTAATGTTGTTGGTAGAAGTGTTAAAGAGAATTAGCCAGAATTGGTATAAAAAACCGAATATAAACTTCAGACAGGTGCTTCAGGACGCCTGATCAGCGTTGGATTTCAACTAAGCCCAAGGGCTAAACATATAATTTCTTCTTATTATTACCCTCCCAAAGCTTGAATAGCACGTATCTGTTCTACTCCAGATGTTAATGGAGGCCCTATGTACCACCTTCGCGGCGCGACTTCTGTGTCGAAATCGGCACTGGTCAGCACTCAGGGGAAAAGTTAACAGATACAAGGGGGAGAAAAAACCTTACCATAGACATTTAGTTAGATTCAACGATCCATTCTTGGAATCGAATCAAACGTCTCTGGCCAACGCAGACCCAAATACATGACGCAGCATAAAACCAAGCAGTGGAATGGCGGGATGAAATTTGCTCAAGATCTATATGCACTAGTTAATCTCTGACTTCAACCCTAAAGAGAGTTTCCACAATGCCTCAGTATCATCGATCAAGGCCTTTTCTGCGTAAAACCTTCAGCCGTTCCGAGAGGTTCAGCAGTCTCGTCTCAAGATACGAACTTCAAAAATACATAGAATTGATCTTTTACTCCCTCTCTCCCAACTCGCTATAGCTTCTATCAAAACTTCTAGTGCAACATCATGCGAATTGTCAGCAGTTGCTTCCACACCTATTCGCTGGAATTCAGGGTGCAGTCAGATGAGAATCAAAAAACGAAAAATGATGCGAGCTGAACTGCGGCTACTAGCGGGATCGTGTTACTTGACTTGTAGGGTTGTGAAGGAGTATGTCTATCCGACATTGGAGATGCTGCAGAAATTGTTTGATCGTCACAGTTTTGCTAATCCTACCAGCAAGGCTAATACTCGGCTCCTGACCAGCAGATGGATAACCACTTGACTTAGATTCCAGCCATGGATAAGATATTATATCCATTGAATGCTTGAAGCTGCCTGTATCGAGGTTGCAAGACTCTCTTAATTTAGAAGCATTAGACAATCGGACAGTTTGGCAATCCCGCCTATTCTAAGACTGGAAAGCTAATTAGCGCCAGGACCGAGAATTTCTATGCAATGTCAACATAAAATAATATGCAGCTTGCATTTTCACAAATAAAGACATAAGAATGGCAGCATATTCAAGTACAATAGGATCAGCAGGCATAGTTTATATCTGTCGAGAAAACCTCCACTCTCGAAGAAGACATACATACCTGTGCATCTCTCAATCAAGTTATTGGACGAGCAGAGCTAACCGGCGGATCATTTCACAGACATTCAACTAATCTGCTCTCTGACCTCATTATGATCGCATTAACCCTTGTAATGTTTCCAGTATACCTTCTCCTTCCGCGGAGCTTTCATTCGACGAACTGGTTGAGGGTCCCGACACGCTTCCAATCTGAGCAATGAATCATAAATCCACGTTTTAATAACTGCAAACTGTGATTGATTAAGGTGCCTGACATCTGCGTTCCTCCAAAATCCATCCATGAGAACATGTAGATGGATTAAATCCAAGGTGTAACCCTAACCTTCAAATCTGTATATTATTCTGAATATAATTGCACTGTGATTAAGCCCCACATCGGAAGAGTATTTGAAAACATCAGCCTGAATCCATCCCTGATGTGTGTGTGCAACTTGAATACGAGTAATGTTTCCATTGTTCATAACTCATGTTATCTTTTGCCTCGTAGATTCATACTCATCCTAATATCAGGAAGGTAGCTATCCGGCATTGTCGTGAAGGAATTTCCTCTTTTGAATTGTCCACGAAGAAACGCTGTGTAGCTCTTATAGCTCTGTATTCATTGACAACCACATCCCATCCTATCAATATCTGTTATTTCTTCAACGTGCCCCTTAGGAAGAAATTATAGGAGGAAAACTTTTCCAAGATGTGAAACAAGACACGAATAATACTCAATTAATGCTCGGCAATTATCATTCGACTGAGATATTTCTTGTAGATATTATTAGTCGTACTCCGTGTGATGACGAAGGCCCCTGTCCAAATGCCAAAAAAATGAATGCGCAAATTCGTGCTAAATCGGAAGAGGAATCTGCTAGCAGCCCGGGCATTTCCATGGCTCTGGATAGGGAGTTATTTTAAGCTTGCTTGCACGTCACACTTGCCCAGGTCCACAGATATTCTCGAAGCGGCCCCTGGATGGGTCGGCTGAAAAGCTCCAATTGCATTTTAAACAGCCCTCCGTTGCAGACAACTCAACATGTCCAAAAATTTATAATACGTTTCCCGCAATTTCTGATGTAAGACGTACCCATATCAAAAGGGGTAATTTCAACGGCTATCTTGCGCCTGGCTTCATCCGGTATCAAACGAGGACCATCAAGGAGAGGAATACTTATTGGGGATTGGAAGTGGTGGCAATCCGGTTGCATATACTGCGAAGGGTAGGATTATCTTGCCTCTAAGATCTCAATGTTCTTTCCTAATATCGTGCCAAACCCTTTGTGTTCCAGCTAATGGGCAATTTAAACCGGCAGCTTGTCCCTCGTAATTGAAGTTCAAAACCCTGTTTTAGGATATATGCTTCCAGTGCTTCTTTCGGAAAATTAAATGTGCACCCTCCCCAACCTCAACTGAGGAAATTTTATCCCTTCCAGCTTGGCGGCAAACCCCAGAGGATGGGAATGTAGGCAACGCTAACTGCTGAGAGAATTAACCTCCTTGACTGCGACACATTATCTGTATTCAAAGAAACACGAGGACCCCAAAGGTTAAAAAAAAAAAAGAAGAAGAAAACACCGACGAATCAAGTGATGCTTGAAGTATCATGGTGGCATTATTCACATAACCGAAGAAGGGGGGGGAAAGAGCATAACTCGCTAGAGCGGTCAGGATTTGAACTATTCTCGGGCAACTAAATCTGGCGTGACACATCTAGTCGTAAGAATATGTGCAGTATATTATATAGTTTTTTGCTCACCTGCTTAGCCAGTCTCTCTGCTAGAGCCTGACAAACCGCTATTGTATGCGTACGATATTCATTTGTTTGTTATCAATGAAAATGCTGGGGATACATGATCAACTTGTGTCATCTGATGATGAGGTGGGAAGGGGAAAATTTGGTGCGCCCCAGGTTCTCAAGAGTGAAGTAGGCGTCAGATTGGGTCAGAGAGGGTGCTTCTGAGGATTGAGGATCCGCCAAACCTATGGGAGAACAGTCCTTTGCAGAGCTAGCTATGCGTCTTTAACTTGTCGATTGGCAGCTGAAAATGAATGGAAGAATACCAAAACGGATAAAAAGTCGACTAGCCCTTGCATGGCATTCTCCAAGCTGCCATTCAACCAAATACAAGGATGTTGTCTCTTCAATTGAAAGTCAAGACCAGATAGTAGCCGGAAGGGGGAGGGTATCGCGCAGCAATCGATCCAGAGAATCCACCATGGCAAGGGTTCTTAGCGGCCAATTAACCACATGGATGAGAATCTTTTAAGGGCCAATGGAAACGCTCTGATATCTCATATGCTACTTTAGTAATTCCCAATGTCGCAGACAAAACCCCATATCCGGAGGGTCAGCCTTGCCATCCGTCAACTGAAGGACACGGACTCCGACAAAACATGATGTTGGGTGCTTTGGTAAGCTGGAAATAATATAGTTGAGAGCAGAAGTTGCACACGCTAGCACGGCGTTCGTGAGTTGGGGGCTTCCAAATGCAGCGATTATGCGGCTGTATACCACTAAAACAGCCTCTTAAGTCTCAGTATATATTGATGATTTGGCGTGATAAGTTGAAACCTTTAAGCAGAAATTCTTGCTATATCTCAGAGAACGTACCATCCTGCAGTGACTTGGTTTACAAGATGAATGACCCTTTCTGTTTCAAAATGCCGGGCAATGTTACCAGTAATTGTGCCTGCAACATTCAAGCTCCGCGTATGCCAGCCACGGCCCTGGTCCCCTTCGTCAAGCAGCCATATGGCTTTGATCGCTTTGCACAGAAGGATCAAAACAGCAAGGAGAACGGATTGCGCATTCCCCATATGTTTTTCAATCAATATGAAGCAAATGATGAGAGCGACGGGTTCACAGTCTCGATCAGGAACGGGTCAGACATCGTCGTTGAGAAAATTCGCCAACGGGAAACCCAGGAGATTCCGGGGCCGGTTGTTTACGGACCAAAGACGTCCGCAGAGGTCAGTAGCGGCATAGTTTCCGTCCTCGAGAGGTATCGAATGGCGCCGAAAGAACACGCTCATGAACCATGGGAAGCTAAAGGAAAAATCTCACGCCTTGTTGAGGAGCACGTAGAGGTCGGGAGGGTTATTCCGATGGTTCTCCCAGCGTTCCCATTCAAGTCACCGAATAAAAAGTTCAAGGTGCTCGGCCACCTTCCTGATAAGGGGGAGGAGGTAGCCTTGGCGCATCTGAATGGACTCTGCGAGCTGATCAAAGAGGAGTATAAACCAGGCGCTAAGATAGATATCGTCTCTGATGGATTAATGTACAGCGGTATGTAGGTTTAACGGTTGCATTCTCCTGAATAGAATTCACCCTATTTCCTGGGATAATAATCGCGAGCGCAGCTGACTTATACTGTTTTTAGATCTGTTAGGGATTTCCGACGAACAAGTGTGGGCCTACGGCCAATCCCTCAGAAAACTTGCTGTTGATACAGGATGCAACAATATCAGTTTCATTCGCCTCGTGCACCTCCTTGGAGAATGCGAAGTTGGAGAGCCGTTATCCGAAGAACAATATTTGAAAGATGCACCTTGGTTTCGAACCCAGCTCCTCGAAAGAAATATCCCCGATAACTTCGATGTCTCCAAACACATATCATTGGATCCTGACACGACCATGACCTACCGCGGATACATCAAATTTCTCGAGAAGGATCTCGACGACAGCAGCAATATTCATGACGCGTCTATCTCAAAACGACAGATAAAAAAACGTCACGAAGAAACTGCACGAAAAATGATCATACGCGGACGGGCATTTGCAATTGCTATCGCAAAGAGATTCGACAAATCGATTCGATTGTCAATCCATCCATCTACGGAGTCAGCGAAGATATCCATAGCGATAACACCAATTAAAGACGGGATAATTATGACACCATGGCACTCCTCTCTTGTCCGTGCAGTGGATGGATCCATCCGGATGGCACATGCTGGCACAGTACCGGCCTTCACACACGAGTTAATTTTCGAGAACGACCGCCCTTCCTACTTCAGGGAGAAATCGTCTCTTTACGACCTGGGCAGCGTCGATGTCGACTTTCAATACACCTACCCCACCGGAATCACCATTTCTCCACGAAGCAAATCATGCAGGAACCACCTCAGTCGAGTCAACATGCGGAAGGTCAGAGTATTGGCAGAGCTCTGTTCACCAGTAGTTTTAAGAGGTTGGTTAGATACGCCGTGTCAAAACTGCTGTTGTGAACCGGAAGTTGGAAACCGAACATGTTCGGGTGGACATGGTATTATTCGTGTGGTGGAATTCTGTGACGGAACAGCTCCTGGAATGAACGGTTTCCTCAGAAATCTACCACAAGCAGACCAATATGAAGTCAGCAATTTTGGAGACTTCAACAGCGGGGGTTGTGCCCAATGCGGCCATACGCTTCGCCTTCTGAACGGATATATGGAGTATCAATCAGGAATGCCCCAGTCCATGGGCAACAAGTCTGTCGTTGGATGCATGAGTCATGGTCTCAGAGTACCCCAACAGCAACCGGACTATAAAGTTCAAAATAAACTGCTAAATAAGATTGCGACTCCACTAAAACCTCATGCAGGATGGAAAATGCTTAAGGAATGGTCTGACATGTGCACTGTCATTTAAGTTGATGTTGGATCTTCCTCTTCATTTTCAGGAGTAATGGACTGGACTCAGGATTGAGGAGTTGTGACATTCCTATTTCTATCATTGTCATGTATATCCTCGACTCAGACTGGTTTTGATATATTCTCTCTGCGGTGACACTGTAGCCGCTCAAATTTTACATTGATGTAAAATTTTCTTTCCCATCCAAGGATAACAGCATATGACTCGGCGTTTGAAGCAAAACCGCTGGCTGGCGCAGTCTGGAAGCTGATGCAGGTAATAGAATAGCTCACACTTTATTGTATTTTACCGAATGTTTAACTTCCTAAGAAGAATTTCAAAGTTGATTCCACCTTTCCACAGTTTCCCTGGCGATGTGTATATAGAAAAGAGAAAGGAGGTGGAAGTTGAAGTGGTAAAGTTGAAGTTGAAGTTGACGTTGCTGTGAGGCTCTTTCCCTGACGTTGAAATATCATCCCCTCAAACCCGCAAATACCAAAGGATACCATAATTACACCGCAATTTCACCTTAAATACTGTTTTTAATACCACAATCGGCATGCCTCTGTCATTCCCAATCTCTTTATCAAAAACAACCAAAAAAAAAAAAAGGCTTCAACAGCTCTTCTACACCAGAACTTTTCACAAGCAAAGCATAATTCCACCCGCACTACCATGAACACATTCATGTTTCATGTGCAAGCATTCTTAGCCATATTTACCAACTTGGTGTTTATTTTTGGTCCATGACCCCATCATCACAACGTCTCCCATTCCAACAGCTCTAGCTAAAACTGACTGTTCCCTCCGGACGGTGCTGTATCCTACTAGCAGCTGAAATCAAGTGCAAGAAAAATTTAAATTTGAGTTTACGCTTAGAATATACTACAGGAGCATATTGGAAATGTCTCCTGCCACGGTAGCCCTGACTCCGGGGTTACAATCATTCCTCCACACCTTGAAGATGAGTGACGTGGAGAGCGCAACGGAAAACCTCATATCGTATGTCCTTTCTATAAGCACCTAGCTGATATAAGAGCTTTTATATACGAACTACGGTCTAATTAGACTAGGCTCCTAAAGCGACGGCAGATCCAACCCTCGCACTCCTGTGCCGTCGCAACAGCCTACCTCCTCCTACGGGTCGTCTCAACATCACGCATAACAGATCCAGCAACGCTAATTGACCGCATACAATATGTCGGGAAGAGGCTCATCGCAGCGCAGCCTAGGGAAATGGTTGTTGGGAACATCGTGCGGCGCGTCCTGGGTCTCATCAGAGAAGAAGCGGAAGACGAGCGGGATGGGGAATCCTGCTTATCAAGCGACGCGAGCTCCGATACAAGGCCACATACACCTCATGCAGCCGCTACGGACGCTGGGGGCAACCACCTCATCACCCAACCACCGGACATTTCAACAGTAACAACGACAACAGCAGCAGCAGCAGTGCATGTCTCAAGCCCGCTAAGACGTGAAGGCACAGATGTCGAAGAGGCCCTCCCCTCAGGGAAGCGGGGCACATCCCTCGCCGCTATCCGCTCTGAAACGACGGAGCGATCCCCACGGCTACCGAACATTCATCAAGCTCCTCCAGTAATATCGATGTTCAGGCTACTGTCGCATCCACAGGTGGAGTCATCGCAAGTTGGGTCTCCCGTTACTGGATCGCCATCCGGTCGTTTGCCTGGAAGTTACAGCTCGAGGGATTTCAGGGCGGAGGTAATTGATGGTATCGGCGAGATAGTTGACGAACTAGGTCAAGTGGAGGACCAGATTGCTAGCTATGCGCTAGAGCACATACATTCCGATGAGGTCATACTGACCTACACGTCGTCGGTGACAGTGCATAAGTTCTTGGCGAAGGCTGCGGCCAAGCGGAAATTTACAGTGATACATGCAGAGGGCTATCCCAACGACCACATAGCGACGCATAGGACTGTCGCGGGCACCACCAGCGCAGCCGCGAGTGGTGTCAGTGGAGGCGGCGCTTGTGGAGACGACGAGAGTTTAAGTCTAAGTACCGAGTCGTTTCAAAAGTCCCTCACGGACCTTGGTGTGACGGTCATTCTCATCCCGGACTCAGCGGTCTTCGCTCTGATGTCGCGGGTCAACAAAGTGATTCTTGGCACGCACTCGGTGCTTGCGAACGGCGGTTTAGTTGCAGCAGCTGGAACGCGAGGAATAGCCAACGCTGCCAAAGTGCACCAGATCCCCGTCATCGTTGTCAGCGGCATCTACAAACTCAGTCCGGTCTACCCGTTCGACTACGAGGCGCTGATTGAGTATGGGGACTCGAGCGCTGTGCTGCCGTATGAGGATGGGGACGTGGGCAAGATTGACGTTCAGAATCCGCTGTACGATTACGTGCCTGCTGACCTAGTCGATCTATATATTACGAACTTGTAAGTTTTCCCTTTCTTTAATAATAAAAAGAATACTCTCCGATTCGGCCGTTTGCCCTAGCTTCCTGCCCTTGGTCAACAAACGAATTGTTTCTCTTCTTTTTCTGTTTGGGGCGGGGGAATTGATGCGAGAAAGCGTGCTCACTGACGTGTTAAAAAACGACTGACAGGGGTGGCCATGCACCTTCCTACTTGTACCGGATTGTATCAGATCACTACCGGAAAGAAGACATAAACTTCTAAGAGAGGATCTGGCGAAGATAAAATAAGGGGCAGGGGGCGATTGAGGGAATAGATCCGATAGGAGTTTCAGATTAACGAGATAAAAAGAGAAAAAGAAGAAATTTTTAATGATAATCCAATTACATAGAAGCGGACAATAAAAAACAATTCTTGGTGACTTCATAGAATAGGAATGGGGAGAAAGGAAAAAGGAACAGGAATGTATGTAATGCAGACTTTGATGGTACCAGCATTATCAGGGCTAACTACTACAGAGCAACGCTACTTTGGTAGTCTTAAAAGCGACCGAAAGCAATAGTCCCC